CCACAGCACAAGTTCACGCTTCCCACTGTGTTTCTGTGTGAGCCCGGTTGCATCCACGGCACGAGTCCACGCCTCCCACTGTGTTTCTGTGTGAGCCCAGCTGCATCCACGGCACAAGTCCACAGGGCAGCACAGGCCTAAAACTTTCAGTGCTGCAAACAGCCACACACAAGCCCTGGGGGAGGCTCGGGCCACTGTGTCCTAATCCAGGCCCCCAGACACTGACCCTGAGGCGGAGGCCAAGACTGCCGGGTCCTTGCCGGGCCAGGCCTCTGAAGGTCAGGAGGGAACAGGATGCGTCGGTGGCCGCTGCCTCGGGCAGAACCAGGGTGCTGTGGACTCACTGGGAACGCCATAGGGCAGCCGGTGTTGGGCTCATGAGGGAAAGCAGTGAGGGGCCGGCACCCGCGTGAAGGTGCAGTCCAGGCACGCAGTGGGTGCCCAGATGCCCACTCCCCCACTGCCCAGGGCTCCTGCGCCCCCTCCCCACGTGTGCCCAGCTCCCAGGTCTCTGCCGACACTGGCCTCGGGCCTGCTCGCTGTCTGTGGGACCGATGACTGGGAACCCGCGCCACCTCCTCCCTGGGCTGAGGCTCCTGAGCTCCTTCCTGGCTCTGCCTCTGTGTTCTCAAAGCCCCGGGGGTTCTGTAAAACTCTCAGGATTCCTGTAATCCCACTGCTTTCCCTGAGGCTGGCAGCCTGGCAGCCTGCAGTTATTCTTGGTGCTGAATTATTCACCCCGCTTCCCCTCCTCGCCTGCACTCCAGCGTCTCACATGGGTCCTGGGGCCAAGCCAAGGCCCCCTCTCCCCACTCAGAATGAAGTCATTTCAAAGTCTTTTGTGTTTAATTATTTATCATTCAGCTGCTGGCTGTAGGATTTAAGTTTGTTGAGGGGTAGGAACCTGGCCAGTCAAGGAGCCCTTGTCTCTGACCCAGCTCTGGGTGGGCTGTTGACCCCCTTGAGCCTCAAATGACAGGAATGGGCCAGCCACAGGGGGCAGGGGGGAGAGGCTGTGGGACGGCACCAGCCTGTCAGGGCTTCCCCGGGCCATTGGATGGTGACGCCCGACACAGCCCACCCTGCGCACCTGAGGCCTCACGTGGAAAGAACATCGGGGCAGGCTGTGCTGTGGGGGCTCACGCCTGTAACCCCAGCGCTTTTAGGGGGCCAGCGTGGAAGGATGGCTTGAGACCAGTCTGGCAACATAGTGAGACCCCTTCCCCACAAAAAATTTTAAAAATTAGCTGGGCATGATGGCACATGCCTGCAGCCTTAGCTACTTGGGAGGTTGACGCTGCAGGGAGCCGTGATGAGGCCACAGCACTCTAGCCTGGGCGACAGAGTCAATAAGGGCCAGGTGCAGTGATCCCAGCACTTTTGGAGGCCGAGGTGGAAGGATTCTCCCGAACCCAGGAGTTTGACACCAGCCTGGCCAACACGGTGAGACCTTGTCTCTAAAAATATGTTTGTAATTAGCCGGGGGTGGTGATGCACGTGGTGTAAAGTCTGGTGATTAGCCAGGCTTGGTGGCACACTTCTGTGGCCCCAGCTCCTTGGAAGGCTAAGGTGAGGAGATCATTTGAGCCCAGGAGTTGGAGGCTGTGATTGTGCCACCGCCCTCCAGCCCAGGTCACAGAGCCAGACCCTGGCTACAGAAAGAAGTGAAAGTGGAGTGAGCGAATAAGAGAGAGAGAGAAAAGGAGAGAAAGAGAAGGGGAAGGGAAAGAGAGAGAAAGCAGCACTCACGGCCGGGGAGGAGGGTGGGAGTCCGCACCGAGCCAGCTGCCCCCACCGTCCCTGCAGCGGAGCCTCAGAGAAGCCTGTGGCCAGCCCAGCTTCCCCGTGGGCAGAGGCTGCTTCCTCGCTGGGCCACGGCCACGTCCTCAGGGCCCACCTGGACCCAACCCAAATCCCGCCTGGCCGCAGCCCCACCCCGGCCCGAGGGTCCCCGAGGCACCGTCCAGGCAGGAAGAGCAGGCCCGTCACTTGCTGCAGATCAGAAACCCGGGTGGGTGGTGGCCCTAAAGATTGCCTCTGGGTGGGAGCGGCACCCCTCAAGGAGCCGGGGCCCCAAGTGTCTCCCCGGCGGACCCCTGGGCCCTCCTTTCCCAGTCATGATGCCCCCCAGGTGACACCGGGCCTCTGGCACTCTGAGGGGACGTCGTGCCCCGCCGGGCCTCCTGGTCCCTCTTGCTGGGACTTCCCGCCGCTCCTAATGGTTCCCTGCAGGCTCCAGCATCGCCATCCGCCCGGGGCCTGGGGCCTTCCCTGCCCTCCAGGATCTTCCGGGCTGCACCCTCGTGAGCAGCCTGTGGAAGTGGGATGGTGGGTGCCACTCCTGCTCCAAGTGCACGAGTCTGTCAAGGATTTAAACAGAAAGCGTTTGCTCCGTGCAGGCTGCGGGCCCGGGGGGCAGAGAGCTTGGGGCAGACATGGGGGGCTCCCCGTCCCGCCCGTGGCCCCGAGGTGGGGTTCACAGATCTCCGCTGTCCTGCCACCCCGGTCCACCCTGTCACCATTAACCCTGGTTCGGGTTGGGGACAGCACACCCTGGGGGCCCAGGCAGGGCATTCAGGGGCCTCACTGTGTCGTCTCCACAGGCCTGAGGGGAGAGCCATGGAGGAGCGGACTTCGGCGGCAGCATACCCAGGTAGGTGGGCGGGACCCACGTGCGTCATCAGCCACGCCACTCTCTGGAGAGGCGACAGGCCACAGTCCAGGGCTGGGGAGTTTCAGACCATCCTGGCCAACACAGTGAGACCCCATCCCCACAACAGTTGGGGGCACTTGGCCGAAGCAGCAGGTGGAGATGTGGGAGAGCCGGGCCCTCCCAGGGGCCTGAATGATAAGGGGCTGGTGGCTTGCTGAGGGGGATGGTCCGGGAAGACGTGAAGTTGGGCTGACACAGCCCTTGATGTGGGGAATATCCTAGCAGGGAGGAAAGCCTGGGGCAGGGTGCACAGGGTGCAGAGGCCTTGGAGGCTGAGGGGAGCTGCGGGAAGCTGCCAAGGCCCAGGGTGGCTGAGCCGTGAGGGGCTGCTCCCCAGCAAGGCCGACGGCAGGGCCTGGGGGGCCTGGGGGGCCTGGGCTGGGCATGAGGCTCCTCCTGGCACGGGAGCTGCTGTGGGGACTGCAAGAAGGGTCCCAGTGAGGGCCTGGAGGAGGCTCAGGTGCAGACCCCCAGGCCATGGGGCCTCCTCCAGCAGCCGCAGTCCTGGGGCTGAACTCCACGGCCTGAGACTGGCATCTCCCCCCACAGCCTGAGGGGCGGAGTGCCAGGGTGCCTAGGCTACACCAAGGCGTGGTCCCCAGCAGGGCACGGGTGCAGTGGCTGGCAGGGTACCTGGTGGAGAGCAGAGCCTCTCTGAACCCTGGGCCAGCGAGAGTGATCCTTCCTCTGGTGTCTCTGGGGTTCTGGCAGGAGAGCCAAAGGCTGGGAGGTCTGGGCCCACCGCTTGCTGGGGTCTGGATGCCTCTATGGAGCTGCCCCTGGTGCAGCCAGAAGGCAAGCGGAGCCACCCTGGTTGGGGGGACGGTCTGGTGTAGCTGGGGCTGCAGCCAGCAAGGGCTTGGGTCCCGGGTGGCGTCCCCCATGGTCCCAGAGCAGCCCTCACACCATCCACCGCCCCAGCCCCATCCTGGCCATCCCAGGAGAAGCAGGTAGGTGAGGGTGGGGGGCGGGGACATCTCACACCGACAAGAATCAGCTGGGTCCCGGCGTCTCTGTGCAGCCCCCAGCCCCGGAGAACACCACCTGCCCACCCAGGGTTTCCGAGCTCCGCAGAGACAGCTCTGGGGGTGAGGAGCAAAGGGAGATGGATGTGGGGCCACTCCAGTGCAGCTGCGGCCGAGGCCCAGGTGAGAGCTGGCCCAGGGCTAGATCCCGTGGCCGTCAAGGCCCAGCCTGCCGCACTGTGGCTGCCAGCCAGAGCCCGTCCCGCCTGCCCTTCCCGTCTGCCAGGCTGCCAGCCTCGGGAGCGGGGTCAGATGGGGCTTGTGGCCCGGCTCCTCAGTCACTGCCTGCCGAGCTCTCCCGGCCCCGGCCAGCGCCTTGGCTGCCGCTGGGCAAGCTGTATTCCTGGGAACACCTAGAAACCAGCTGCTTGGAAACACCGTGGCGTTGCCATGCACGGCTCTCCCTCCGCCCACCAGGGAGGCTGGCCCTGGTGCCCACTGCGCTGTGGCTGCAGAACATGTGCCCCCTGGCGAGGTCCCCCTAGACCTTGTTTCTTTCTAAAGGAACTGACTCAGGGCCAAGCACGTGGCCCCAGGCCCCGAGGCTCGCGCTAGTCCAGCCCAGGAGCGCACAGGCGGCAGCGCCCGTGGCCCGGCCGGAGGAGGCCGCCGCTCCGCTCTGCTCGGGGAGGGAGCGCCGTTTTCCAGGCCGGCGGCGTCTGGAATGTGTCTCTGCCTTGCGGTGTGAGCCGACTCCTGCCCCGTTTCAGCGCGGCGGCATTCCTGGTGTGAGCCCGGGCCAGCCCGGCGCCTTTTCCACGCTCCAGTGCCAGCCCCACGGGCTCCGGGGACGGGAGAGGACGGTTTCCATGGCAACCTCACTTTTGTTATTTCTTATTTTCTTTTTTATGGTTTCTCCAACTTTGAAGCTCTCCAGACAGTTTACAGGCTGTGAAAGGAAAAGTCCTTTCCCTTCTCTCCCGAGTCCCCCCAGCAGGGCCGCCCCCCAACCCCACCTAGAGAGCCCGCCGCGGTGCGGGGAAGGGGCTGGGCCGGGGGCTTCGAAAGCAAACCAGACAGCTCTCGCCTTTGGAGGGTTCATTATTTTTAAAATCAGTTTATGGAGGAAAGGAATGATTTTTATCCTAAGAAGGTAGGAAAGTATTTGCAAAAGAATGCCCCAGGAGCCCCGCAGCAGGTCGGCAGCAAGGGGCCCCCGAGCGGCTGCCTGGCAAGGGTCACTTCCGTCCTCACCAGCCTCTGAGCAGGAGGCCGTAGCTAGGCTGTGGCCTGAGGTCGGAGCTGGTTTGCTTCGCCCAAATCGGTTTATTCACCTACGCCGACTGTGCGTCTAGCACCCCAGGCCTGGTCCAGTGGCTGGTCCTGTGGTTACGGTGCCAAGAATCCCGGAACCCAGGCAGAGATGACCAGGGTGGGGGGCACAGGGGCCGGTGTGGACACGAGACAGGGCTGAGGCCAGGGAGGGGTGGGGACAGGAGCCTGACTGAGGACCAGCCCAGCCCGTCCCCTGCAGGAGAGTACGTGGTCACGATCCGTGACGTGACCACCCCGCCATTCCTGGGGCGCACGCTGCCCACCGCCTTCAAACACCTGCGGGTCGTCGCGAACAGCTCTGCCCAGCAGCCCCACGTCCTGGAAGAAGGCGCTGAAGCCTCAGGTGGCCGGCAGGCCACGTACAGCTGCACCCCAGAGCCGCCACTTCCTCAGTGAGGCCCCGTGTCCACAGGTGGCCACCTCGGTGTGAACAGAAGGAAACGCTGCCTCTGCGTGCGGGCCCTGCTCCCCGATTCCGCGGACAGCCCAGAGCCCTGCAGCTGCCGGCTTGAATAAAACGCTCAGTGGTGGCTCTGGAGGGCACTGCTCCTTGGGCCCCACACAAGCGGCTCAGCCCTCCCCACACGCCCGCACACTCACAGAGGAACGGGAGCCCATGCCGCCACTCACCGCTGCGGCCCCTGCTCTTCGCAGAGCCCTGGGGTGCCCGGGGTGCAGGCGGGACACATAGGGTGGCTCGTCTCAGTGCCTCGGGCCAGGCCTGCGGCCGTCCCCCAGGCACTCTTTAAGGCCAGTACGTCTTTCCCACCCACCCTGTTCCCAGGCCCCGCTGTGGTGGGTGCCGGAATTCCCTGCCGGGCTGGGGCTGGGAAGGAGGGTCTCTGTCGCCTGCCACAGAGCTCTGCCGTGGAGCCCAGCCAGCCAGCCCCGACCTCCGCCTGGTACTACCCACTCCAGGCAATCCTGCCCACAGGATGGGCTCCCACGGCGAGAGTCAGGTGTCCTGCCTGCCTGACCCCCCGCCCCACACTGACCACGGAGGACGGTCAGGGGCATTCTACAGCTGCCTCCAGAGGGCCCCTCAGCCACTGAGAGGGGCCGGGAGGTCATGGGGAGGGGCGCTGAGGTGGCCCACAGGCACCGGCCACTCAATCAGCACAGAAGGCGGCCATGGCAGAGACCTGCCTCCTGGCTCCACGTGCCTGCCCTGGCCCCTGGCTTCACCGTGCCTACCTGGGGCCTGCGCAGCCTGACTGGTCTCACCCTCTGCCATCCCAGCGCTGGGCAGGGAGCCAGCCTCCTCAGACCCTTGCTCTCCCAGCCTCTCCCGGCAGCTCCTCAGACCCACCCCTGTCCTTGCAGCCCCCCACTCAGAGGGACCCCACTTGGAGCCCTGGGGAGGAGGCCATCCAGGGCCCAGCCCCAGCCCCGCACCAGGCCCATGCCAAGGCCCCCGATGCTTCCCTCGGCGTGAGGGCCATGCCGCTGTCCCCGACTCTTCCATGACCAGCACCCATCTCCCTGTGCTGGGCCAGACCCAGCCTCCCACTGTCCGGGCGCTTCGCCCATCTCCTGGCCGGCTGCGGCCTGCGTCTCTCTCCAGACCTGCACAGGCAGGTGCTTCCGCCCAGCAACGGGTAGCCATGGACAAAGGAGCTGCGTTGACAGAAGCACAGGAACACGGGGCACACAGGGTGAAGACCCGCCCAGGAGCTGGGGTGCTCCACGGTGGGGGCCTGGGGAGCTCTCAGGGAGAGCCTGGCTGGGGCCAGGTTGGGCACAGGGTGGTGGATACACTGAGGAAGGCCGGCTGCCCTGGGAGCAGAGGGGCAGGCTGGGGAGGGCACTGGTCTGGGAGAAACCAGGCCAGATCATGGGGTGCCGAGCCCCCATCCTTGGAGGTGACAAGTTGAAGGCCACTGGGGCTACAGCGATGGGACTCCCTCCTCTACCAGCACAGAGTATCCCCAAGGCCTCCTGGTTCTGAGCTCTGCCAGTCTGAGGCCGAGCACTTGTGGGGGGCTCTGGCATCCCCAAAGGTTCCCCAGATACCCAGGCTTCCATTCCAGACAGCAAGGAGGCAGCTGCCCCCCTGCACCTTCTAAGAGCCCAGAGCCAGTGGCGAGGCTGCGTCTCCAGATGCCACGTCCTCAAGGCTCCCGTTGCCCAGGGCTGCTTGGCCACAGCTCCAGCCTCTGGTCCCTGGGGGCCCTGTGGGTGCCCTGCGCTTCTGACACTGTCCTTTGCCCTTGAGGTTGGCTCTGCCGTTGGAGGGGAGGCTCCTGGACTGCCTGGACTTGGGTCACCTGCCTCCCAGGGGTCCAGGGAGACGTCGGCGAGGCTGGGCAGATGCCACCGCATCACGCTGACCCTGGCCCACCGCACTGGAGCAGCGCCCACCTGGGCCTGCCCCTTACATTTGGCAAACCGCTTTGTAGCTTTTTTTCACTTCAGGATGAAACCACATTTTGTCACAAGAAAAATAGAAAATGATGTTTCAATTTAGAAAGAAAAAAACTGCTGGGAGCAGCAGCTGCTGTGTTTCCCAGCATGTCAAGAGGGGCCCTTTGGGATTTAATTCCCAATCAGCATCCTTGGTTTTTCAAGTCACAAAACCCACGGGGGAAACCCAGGGCTGTTTTCCCCACACGGGATGTGGCGGGGCTGGGGCTGCACCTCAGCGGCTCTCTGTGGCTGACAGGCGCGCACGGCCATCGAGGCTGACTTTTTGAAAGCTCTCTGCACACACAGAAGCCTGGGGCCGCCAGCTTCCTTGGGGATCACAGCAAACTGCGGGGCAGGCATCGGTGTCCCCTGGGCTGGTGGCTAGGGCCACTGAGGGCCTGAGAAGGTGTCCAGGTAGCCTCCTGGCCAAGCTCCTCTCCCCCTGCCCCTCCCAGCAGGACAGACCCTGGGGACCGTGGGAGGGAGCAGAGCGCAGTGGCTTCCTAGGGTCGGGGGTGCCTCTTCCAGCCAGCACCCCTCGGTGCCGACGGGGAGCCGCCCTGGAGGGCCGCAGTGCCTGGGCCTTGCCTGGACTCCCGCCTGGCCCCGCTTGGCCCACTCCTCACACCACATCCAGAAGTTAAAATACGTAGAAATTTGAATTTAAAAAGGAAAAAAAAAAAAGCTGGGGAGGAGAGGCTCTGTGGAGACAGCCTCGTGGCCTCAGACACTGCCCTGGAGAGGGAGGAGCCAGGTGGGAGAGGGAGGAGCCAGGTGGGAGAGGGAGGAGCCAGGTGGGAGAGGGAGGAGCCAGGTGGGAGAGGGAGGCCTGCGGGGGGAGGGGCAGCGTCCAGAGACCAGAGGTGCTGAGGTGGCGGCAGGCCAGGCCCCACCCAAGGACGACGACCCTCCCCCAGGACTCCCTCGGACAGCCCACCATGGGGATGGAGTCCTCGGGACGGGCCACAGAACACTGGCCTCCCGTGTCCCTTCACCCTGGCTTCTGGGTCTGCTGGTCCTGGTGGCCCTGGGGAGGCCACAGAGGCCGGCCTGTCTGTCTGGTCCAGGCAACCTCTTAGGCAGAGTCCCAGAGCCCCCCACGTGCATCCCCCACCAGCACACAGCCCTGTTCTGGGGTGCGCCCTCCCCCGTGAAAGACCCTCCTCTATCACCTGCCCTCGCTGGCGGGGACCAGCCCCTGAGTGCCGGGCCTGGGGTGGGGTAGGTGGAAGGACAGGGCCCATGGGCTGACCTCGGCCTGCCGGCCCCTGCTCACTGGGCCTGATCTGGGACTGGGCACCGATTCCCAGCCAAGGGGCCTGACAGACCTGCTCAGGCCAAGCGGCATCACTGAGCTGTGGGCATGGGCCAGTGGCAGACACGCTCCCAAAGGCCTTGACAGCAAGCGGCCATGGTCCTCCAGGCTCCCTGGGCCTCTTAGGCAGCTCCCCTCTGCATGTTGGTGCGGAGGGCAGACAGCTTGTGGTACTGGAGGTGGAAACACACCCGCTCTGGTGCCAGGGCTGCTGTGCCATGTGACCACCCGGCTGCCAACACAGGTGGACGCGAGCTGGGCTGAGGCCTCATCCCAGGCTGGGCAGGGGCTCTGCTGGGTGCCCCTGGACCTGGTGGGCACAGTACGGGCTATGACTGCCTCTGGCCTGGAGACCAGGGCCTGCTGGCACCGCCCCGGGGAAGCCGAGGCTAGGGCCAGGTGGGGGCTCTCTGGCAAGCTCCCAAGAACACTATGGCAGAGGCGGAGTCCCCACCCCCAGCCAGCACCCCCTCCTGCCCCCAGATGAGTCTTGGGGAGGGAGTGCCCGGTCCCAGCGCTGTGTACCTCCCTGTGCCCCTGCTGTCCTCTGACCTCGCAGACAAGGGAGCATCGGCCGTTCCTCCCACCCACAGTTAAAGAGCAAAGATGACACGGAGAGAGGGCGTCACGCCAGGTGCTGCCACGGAAGAGTCTGTGAGCCAGAGAGACAGACACAGACAGAGACACACAGAGATAGGATGGGGACGGGGGAAGGGCACCTCCCTCACCCCACTTCAGCAAGGCCTCAGCCAGGACACCCTCCAGACCAGGCCCAGGCCTCTTGGTGTTAGCAGAGGACAGCGGGGCCAGGCCACAGCCGGGAGCCAGACAGGACCCGCCTGGCCTGTGGACATCCCCACCCAAAGCCTCTCCGTCTTCACTCCTGGCGACTGGGAGTGTCGAGGGCAGCTGTGCAGAGCAGCCCTTCCCAGGCAGGGCTTCCCGGAGGGCCAGTGCCCGGCCCCCTTGGCTGGTTCCTGTGCAGCCTGGGGGGCCTTCCCTGGGAGCCTCAGGTCTGGGCCCAGGAAGCCAGGAGCCTCTGGGCCTGTGGGCTGGCTCAGCAAGACCACCTCTCAGCAAACCCCTCAGGCCTGACAACAGACCTCCAGCCCCTTCCAGTCCTGCCTCCGGGCACAGCGAGAGCCAGGAAGGCCAGGCTCTGCGCCCTGATGAAAGGGCCCCGCTTGGGGCCTGCAAGGCAGCTGCTGGCCCTTCAGAGAGCCTTGGGGAAGACCACCTGGGGCCAGGGTGGTGCCTGGCTGCCCGCTCTGCCCCCAGTTTGGCCCCTGGCAGTGGCACTCTGGCAAACACTGGACCCCCCTCTTGGTATTTGCCCCTCCTGCCTAGGGCAACCAGAGCCAGAAGCCCAGCTGGGGGGCTCCAAACACGTCCCGGGCCAGCAGGGCCTCCC